GAGAGAGAGAGAGAGAGAGAGAGAGAGTTCAATATCGAGTCTCATTCGAACCCCGACTATATTGGCAATTTGTTGGCTAATATTGAACTAACAGTCGAAGGCAAGAAGTTAGTACCACGGAGGAGCTGATAATTTGTACACGAAATAGAAATGTCAACGAGCTGCAAACCTTCTCGAAAGTTTCGGATCGTGATAAGAGACTTGGCTAATGTTCGAGCAAACATATTTAGAAAATGATCATTCCAATGATTGTTAAAATATTAATGAGCAGAATTCTCCACCTCACAATAAGTGTTATTCGAAATGGCTTCGATTGGTGACAAGAAAATGATTACTCGAATGATTAAATATCAACGAACTGAACTTGATTGCCCCCTGCTTAACATTGTTGTTCGAAATAATTTCGTATCTATAAGGAACCTAATATTCCAACGAAATATTTAGGAAATAATCATTTCAATGATTGTTAAAATATTAATATACTGCCTTAACAATATTATTCGAAAGTTTCGATTGATAAGAAACTTGGCTAATATTCGAATAAAATGTACATTTAAATGATTATCTAAATGATTATTTAATACCATTATTTGGAAATTTCGATTCATGGCAGAAGGCTGATGAAAATAGATTTAGCCATTATTCCTATAAAATATCTGAGAAATGATCATTCCATTTATTTACATTTGTCTTTTACATGAACCTTTTACTAGAGAGAATATTTTATTTTTTTCTCTTTTTTCAATTTCTTTTTCTTTTTTACATCGAACCTACATCGGTTTCGTACTGGTCGTTTCGTAGTAATAATAATTCTTGTATTTAATTTCTACAGAGAAAAGCTGGTAGAATTATTTTTAATGTTATTTTCGATCCGTCAGTAATAAAATAATTAAAGATGATCCCGTTAGGTGAAATTTAATCGTAAATTCAATGAACGTGGTTGAAAAATGTAATATTTTCCGACCGCGCGAAACGAGATCATGTAAATTGATACCGTAGCAAAATATCTCTTAAATCGAGAGATAGGTGAACAATTATTTTGTTTATTAGAATAATCAAATGATTTTTCTCCGAATTATTTTATTATTTAAGTGTCAAACGATCTGAACCTGTGATCAGTCACAAAGGTCTACACACGTCAGATTTCAAATTATATTTCAGATAATGCATGCGTTTGAAATATTTTGTAGACGCGAATTTATTTATTAATATTCAATTAATGTACAAATTCTGAGAAATGTTTACAATGTTTACTATATTTGTTTACTGAAGAATGAGAATAGATCGGAACGAAATGAATCGCGAAATCTGCTATATAATTATCATGAATAATTGAAAATATAAGCACAGACTATGAATGAATGTAAAATATATGTTCCTATCGTTATTACAAAATAGGTTCTATGTATTCGCTGCATTATAGTAATTATGCACAGATTTTTCATAAGTTTTATTTAGATATTTGCTCTTTCAAATAAATACGAAAAACATTGTTGATCTTCTATCTCGGTTAGAACAATGACACTATGTCTTCCTGTTTTAGATATATTTGACGTTTAACAGACATGCACGCGACTGAATTTTCAAATTATGTCGGGAATGCTGAATTTCATAGGATTTCCCCGTATACGTGTGCCCCTCTAAAATATTTATTACGGGTATAAAATCCTTGAAATCTTATCCGAGCATCTCTTTCCCAAGTAATATCCAATAAACGTTCCTTTTAAAAAATTCAATTCTGGATCATTAAAGCACACGACGAAGGTAAGGTAAGTACACATCAACCGGCCTGGAAATGAATTCAATCTATTTTCCCTAATGCAGGCTAAAATATGGATGATCGCCTATTTGTAGATACCCCGTTCGCGACAATCCTTTTTTTCTTTTCTTTTTATTCGTCGTTTTATGGAAGATAAGACTGAATTTATGGTATTCCGCGCTTCTTACACATACTTTCGATACGTGTTCTCGATACACGGTGCACACGTACAGAGCGATTGTCTCAAGAATGATAGGAGATGTGAAAAGATCGTGGAGAAGAAAAATTGATTAATATAAGAGGATCTACTTTACCGCGAATTTACTTTTCTCTACACCTAGAAAATTGCAGATGCAATTTTCCTTTTTTCTTTTTTTCTTTTTTTTTTTTAAGTCTAATCGTACGTAATCGCGATGAAGCTCGACATTCTCTGTAAAAGGATACTAACCAACGTGTGTCGAAACATTGTTAATTTAGGAGATATTTCAACTTTAATTTATAAAAGACAAAAATAGTACGAATACAATATTGCTTCCTCGTGCGGTAAATTTTATAAAATTGAAGTCAAAATATTTCTTAAATTAATAATTTTTCATCTTCGTTGATTAATAGAAACAAAAAATATACGATCCTAAATGTCTAAAGAAAGTTGAATTTACGAGAAAAGCAAGCCTGCAGACAAGTAGATTCTTTTATACCAATCAATTTTCTCTTCTTACAATATTTTTATATATCTCCTACCATTCCTGCAATATAACCTGTTACAGTTGCATTTATACAAATTTGCATATTTTGAACAAAATGACTGTTACAACATCAATATAATTCCTTCGTAGAATTCTGTTGTTTAATTTTAGTCCATAGCAATATCTTGACGAGAAATTAATAACATACGTATGTACTTTATATAAATTTTATCGATTCGAAGTCTTGGATATGAAACTTATAGGTATGAAAAATTAATACTTGCTGGTATCATCCTAAGTACAGAAGTCATTTAATGAAAATTAAAGTGAAATCACTAGTGACCATAGCAATTTGTTACAAAAATATGTAACAAACATTTAAGTTGTTTAGTTTTATTTCGTACTTTATATCTCTCTTGATAATTTTCGAAAATTCCAAGATGAAGAAATGTGAAGCATAAATTTCGATAGTTTCACAATTTGAAAGTATAAATCAAGGAATTTAGGAAAAAATAATGTACTATAATTAATATTATGGCATATGATTAATAATCGTAAATGATCTAATGCAAACTGTAACCACATTCTAATTATATTAAGTGCTCGATGATATATGAACAAAAGTGTATCTGTTGATTTTTCATATTGTTTTATACTATTTTCTCCCAAGAAGATAAGCATTATCTCTTCGTTCTTAAAGGTAGAAGTTTCCCACGGTACTATTACGCAGAAAGTATAATTTTACAGCGTCCATTTTTCACGAGGATGACTTAATATTTGAAGACTCTTGCAGAAAACACTCTGAAAGTATTGAAACATTTTGCTTTTTCATCGGAAAATGTGCCAATAAGAATAACTGTACTATAAGTGTATTTTTCCTTCATTTTCTCAATTTCCTTTTCATAATTTAATTCTCCCTAATTTCTCTTTAATTTCCCTTAAAATATAAGTAACATTTCCCAATGTAAAAAATTAGCATTACGAGATTGTTACATTACTACTGAGTTCAACATTGTCTCTGAAGAAAAGAGTGTACATGCCAATTGAAGAAAGCATTATAAATGCTAAACATCAAATTTTTCAGTGTCAAATTGTAATTTACAATGTAATTTACTTACAAATAAAAGGGACATATTAAAAAAAAAATAGTAAAAGGAACTTATTCAAGAAAACTAATATTAAAAAATATTTTTAGAAAATAATTTTTTTACCAGTAATTGAGAATCAAATAGAATTAAATATTTCTTTATTAGGATTCACAATATTTCTTTTTATAGATGGCATACTGAGTTTCCTCTTTACATATGGCAGTCTCCATTTTTTCAAACAAATGGCACGTACAAGGTTTTCTAGAAATATGATCTCCTTTTAAGGTAAGTTTAATTTCTTTATTAATTCCTTTATCTAAAAATTTATATTTTGTAGCAAAAAAAACATCAAATTTTATAAATAATTTAAGATTGGATAATTTTCTTTTCCCTCTTAAATATTTGATACTAAATTGCTAATTTTAGTTATACTAAATTGCTAATTTTAATTAGAATGCACATAATGTGAAGAACTATAAAATAATACAACATGTATAATACAAATATATGAAATACATAATAAAATACAGTGATTCTTGTAACATTTGGGGCGCAAAACAATTTTCCACCGAGGTTCTATTTCTTTAACCATATTCTAAAAAAAAGAAAAAGCATGAATTCGCATGAAAATCCTTGGTCTATTAATCACGAACTGAATGTCCGTTATAAAACGAAAGCTACGTATTGACTTTTCCTTTTTATCGCTAGTTCGTGCTAGAACAATAGAACTATTTCACTTTGATAGGCTGTTTCTTAATCACGAATGATTGATGAAGTGTCATCAAGACGTCCAACTTTTCCTTTTTCAAGATTTCCATTGCCACTTTACTAGAAACCTGCATCTTCGTGCCGAACAAAGCTTCTGCTTACGTCATCATAGTACACCGGATAATGAAAATAATTAATAAACGGAAGTTTGTCGTTTCGAAAAACCTATGTAATATTGAAGATTATGCTGAAGAAACTGCTGAGAAAAAACGACAGGAAGAGTTCCGTGATACTTCACTAAAAATTTCGTAAATAAATTGTGAATTCTTAAACATTGCATGAAAAATCCAGAGAAATGCAAAAATGCATATTAAATATTGAAAGATATATTAAAATATATCTAAATTAAGTAATATATATTTAAATTAAGTAATTTTAGGTACAATAGGTACAAATAATTTTTGTAGATTAATATTTAATCCAGAATGATTAAAAGACAATATTTAATAAGTAAAATAATTTTAAATCTGCCTTTTTAATTATGCCTTTTTAATTATCCTCGCAAGATGTGAAATTATGTAAATTCGCAGTCTGTTTATAAAAATTCCATTCCCGTAAAAGAAGAGATATAATTCATTTCACGATTAATTTATATTTTAAATCAATAAATTGCAATGTGCAAACAAATCTTACGCTGTAAAATAATATTAAACAGGAAATTATTCCGTTGAACTTCCTTTGTGCATTAACAGATTATGTAGATTGTCAATATTTCCACAAATTTATTATTAACGCTTCAATAAAATAATAAGCATATACTATCTTCAATGACACATTTTAATTGTATATGCTACAATTTCATTGTTTACATTTAATAATGAAAATATACTTTAAACGCATTGATTTTCAAATGCAAAAGTGTTAATTAACAAAGAGAAGAAAGAGATTATTAACAACATTAGCAACATGTAGACTAAAACAACTCATGTTAAATTAATTTAACAACTCATGTTAAATTATATGTGAATTTAAGAGCTGGTCCAAGTTACAGAAATTTTTCTTATATTTTTAACGTGAACTAGATGTTAAATTCATAAAGAAAATAATCATTCAAAATTGACTTTACAAAAGCAATTTACATTATATCTATTTGTATTATACCAAAACAATGATAACACGATAGTAAAATTCTTTTTGGAAATCCTACAGCACTACATATATTTCTCATCACTACAACACAACAAGTGGTTACTATATTTCCCAGCGATCAATATATAAATAATTAATATCATTCTCGTCATTATTTCTTTTATTCCACAAGACTATCTCTAAAAATTGAAAGAAAGTTGAAATACTTTTAACGTTACAACATGACATTAGTGCCATTTTCTTAATCGTCAGTGGTTGGAAGCTTTTCAACAGAGTTTCAGCATCGAGCAACTTTTGTTACTAATTCCGTATCTATTAATTGAAACACTGTCCGCAAGAAGTTCGAAGCCTTAATTACGCGAACCTTAAATGCCTCGGAACTTCTCGATTTGGTTTGCGCGGCTTCAGGGGGAGAAAAATTTCAAGCGCGAGCTGTGTCTCATTGAAACGTTCCCTCTAAAGGGTTCTTCTGGTACAATGTACAGCTTTAGTTTCAAGTTACATCAGAGGATCTATTTAGATTGCACGTAGTAAACGTGTACGTACTTTTGAAGGATCAGCAACGCTGCACACACTTTCCACGAGAAAAAACGAGGCGCGAGCAAACCGTGAAAAATGCGAGCGCGTGAAAATTGACCTGCAAAGTGCTACATCCTGAGACTCGCGAAAAGTACACGGAATTTCAATGAAACATTCCTGTAGCAGTTGAATGACGTGTACGTTATATATCATCATTTCTATAATCCGACAAGTCGTCTGCTTTTAATTTATTCCAATTAAGAAATAAATTAAAACTCAAGTATAATTTTTCATAGCCCGTTTTTAACGTATCAAATTTTCATAGTTTTCTATAACGCGACTATATATAAAATACTATATACACTTGCAAATTTTGAGTGTTCAAAAAAGTGTTGTAAATATTTTACAATTTATTTATTAGTTAAAATTAGACAGTTTTTGAAAAGACTCTGACGAGTCTTACATTTCTTACATTTATTTAATTCATTCAAACAAATGTAAGAAATTGAATATTTGTTAATGTTTCAAACAGTGAATAGAAGAATATTCAATACATTCAAATATCATATATTCAAATACTGAATATTTGTCAAGTTTGTGAAATAATTTAATTTCACTGACGAATTAATTTATTAAAGTTCGTAAAATGTTTAAAAAATTTTTTCCTCTGTTTTATATATTTAAAATTGTACGTAGAATTTTGTGAGTAACTGTAATTACCATCAAAATATAATGGTACAGATCTGGATATAATGGTACACGTATTGCAATGTAAATGACTCTTATTAATATTTGAACACTATGACGTAAAAAATTATTCTTCTATACGTGTATTTATTTATAGTATTGTCATTGAATTAATCGTTGCATTAGTTGACGTACATGAATTTTATTCATTTAACGCACAAAATCTCCTGCATAAGTAATGATAAAACAAATAATGGCCAAATTTAAAATGGTAAAAGAAAAATTAGGTAATGAGCAAGTTACATTAATTTTCACATCACGAATTTCACATAAAATATTCAAAATTATTATAAATTTAATACAACTTACTCATTGTTTGAATTTCTTTCTCGTTTTAAGCTTCGCCATTGTTTGATTTATCACTCCTTACGTAGAAAACTATGCGCAGTAAATCAATACGTGTCATTAGAGTACATCAGAAATAACATGACAAAACAGCATTGATTCGTGCTTTAACAATGCCGTTGTTGCCGAGTTAAACTCGAGCTCGTCAGTGATAAGAATGATCAGTTCGTAATTTTTCATAAAACTATAAATCTACGGCGATACATTCTTAAAAATTCGAATGACAAAACATATAGATAAAAGTTATCCTTTATTGTATTATAAATTTTTTTCTATTCCCTGCACTTTGATTTTTCGACGCAATTTCCATATTAAAGTTTTGAATATGTTTTCAATGTTCCAAAGTGAGTTGGTGTGTCTGACGATGTCTTAATTTCAACCTTTCCTATATTTCCCATTCGAAATTACTCTTATTGACCACGAAGAAATGCGTGAAAGCACTTGTAATATTTGAACTGAGAAAACAGAATGCTGAGAACGAGAAATTTGTAATTCTTCATATAATCTCGAAAATTTAAGTAATTCTTCACGGAATAATGTAAATAAAATGTTCTTCATCACTCCAATTCTAATCCTTTGAGATTAATCCATATACCGGAATATTGGACGAATGATCTTTAAATCAACGATAAAATAATTAGTTTAGGATAGCATGTCGCAGTGTGTCAAACGGCACACGTTCAAGGACGAGTGCATTCCTAATTTGTTCCTCCTCGTTCAATATTAAACTTTCGGACTTTCGGCGCTTTCGAATTTTAAGCACTCAAAGGGTTAATTGGAGTATTCGTTTGATACAAATTTTATACCCACGGCCGACGGTAATTCCAGTGCCTTAATGAGGCATTAAGACACTTTGACGAGTTAACTTCGCGCATAGGATAAATACACGCAAAACGTAGCTAACGTTGCGCGCAATTACTCCAGGCCACAACGTTAATTACCGTATTTACCGGAGAAAAGGGACTCACCGAGGACAATAACTCGGGGCTCGTTAGTGGTGTACGGATGCATCATGGGTAAAGTCGAAGGAAGCATGGCGTTCTGTATCGTTGGCTGTGAATCTATCAGGCGTTCCTGATTCTGCGGTCTCGGCGGGCTTCTGCTCCTTGGAACGTCAAAAGACGTGAGAGTATGCGATCTCGCGAAGCTCACGTGCTTCGTTTTCGGTGCCTGAGAAGTGGGTGGCGGTGGTGCTGGCGGCAACACTGGTCGAGGACCCTCCAATTTCGTTGATTCTTCGTCCTCCGGTAGCCACGTGTACCTGCAACAGAAGGCAGCCTTGGAAGTTCATCTTCTAATTTTTACAAAGGGGGCAAACTTATTCGCGAAATTAAACTTATTGTTTTTTGTACATTTTACCTATATTTTTGTAAACTATTTTATAAAATTGACCTGGATGTGGTCTCTGGACAATCATCTGCCAGTGAAAAATATTGACCGATTGACAATTTCGTCGAACGAGATGCACCAAACAAAATTTATTATTATTTATTTCATTCGGAGTCGCACCAACTATTTTTATATTCTATGGTTAGCAAATAAAGTAAACATAATATTAGAAATGGTATAACTAATCTAATCTAATTTTAAATTAATACAATATAACGCAAACTGAGGTCGTAATTTACACTATACCTGATGATATAATCTATAACAAAAGATTTTTATAACGTCATATTATCATTTGGTTATGAATCTCATTAGGAAAATTATATTTAGCTTTGTATTAAGCCACGTTATTACAGTTAAAAAAAAAAATAGTTTATTAAGAGAATACAATTACAGTAGATGCGTTTTCAAGCAAAATTTGTTTCATATTTTTCTCATTTAACCTTTTCAGCAGAGAATATTTTCTTACCCATGTTGAAACAGCTACTATTTGGAATGCTCAATTATTTCCAGACGATGACGAGCTATACTACCGTGCATAAATAATTAGTGCAATTTCGTTAAAAGCTTGATACTTTTATTAAGATGTTATGTAAAATTCTCTGCAGAATTTTCAACTATCGAATTATTATAATATAAGCTATTCTTTTTATCAACATATATTAATTGTTACATGTTAAAATTAAATTTAAAGATTCGCGTAAATTATATTTCCATAATTTAGAAGTATCCACAAACCTATTGTGTAACCATGATGACAAAACATATCGTCCTTGCACAATGATATTTCATTAATTGAATCACATAATCATCATTACTAAATTACGAATTTTATGGATCTACAGAAAATTTTAAAGTGTAAAATTACACGAACTGTAGTGATATATAAAAGATATGTAAAACGTCCGAAATGTAACGTTTCGTATAACATTTACATAAAAGCATAATATTCACATAAAATAACTTTTTTACCGAAACTTTGTTTCCCAAATTATACTTTTTAAAGAACGAATTTGCATAAATAATTACTACATTGTTACTGCTGGCCAACATTGAACATATATTCTTCCCACTGAGAATGAAATTACATTCTTTCATATCGAGAACGAAATTTAAGTCTTTCATCCCATAATTTCTTTTTCCTTTCTTTCTCTCTTTCTCTCTATTTTTTGACGAATTCTTCGATTCCGTATATTCGAAGGTTTCATTTTCATAAAAGCACGCATTGTTTGAATTCACGTGGAACGAACGTGGTACGTGCGGGTAAATATTATTCATATTAGTGCAAATGTATGTCGCGATGTACAGAACATTCATCGGAAACGAATGGATAATATCGGAGAATATGTACCGGGGGATTAAATAAAATTTTCCGGTTTGCCCAATTCATTCACCGTGTGTAATGAAAGAATATTGATTTTTGTTTGTAATGAATTTCATTGTAATGAAAGAATATTGAAATTTTCGTAATTTAATAACGAAAAGAATAATTAAGCGTTTAATTGTTTAAAATTACGGGGAAAATTCACGAAAAATTTGAATAATTTAGAAACTACTGGACAATTTCTGTGAATATATTACATGAGATATTTTAGAATTTTATAAATGCTGTAACAAGTATTATGACTATACTGGTAAAATTTGAAACGAATTTTTAATTTATATAACCAAAAAAAGTACACAGATAAATATTTATCCAATCATACTGATAAAAGTAAAAAATTACATAAAAATACTCGCTTAAATTCTGCTCAAATCCCATATATATGTAATAAAAGTTTATTGTGGTAAGATACTTCCGCGATCCAGCGTATGGAGAGCAGAGAGTCGCGGCAAAACCCGCGAAAACACCAATCAAACTTCGCGGTGCAGTAATGAAAAGCGGTGTCGGCAACACAAAGCGACGAACTCGGCCGATAGAACGGACGAACGCGCAATTACGCGACGATCAGTCCGCAAAGAGATCTACCAAATGTAAACTGTCCGCAGATACTTCTCGCGCGATCACATCGCGAGTTGAACGAGAACGCTTCAGCCGCGGAAAACGTAAAATTGAAAGCATAGGTAAGCAGCGTGCACGAACTTTCTGGCAGCGATGATCCAACAGGTGTCGCGGAAGAACGTTTCATAATCGCGAGACAATGGCCGGGGCGTTAACGATCTAAAGAAAGGCACGTCGCGCTTTTTCTACCGGATGACATTAGGATAAAAGCAGGCCGTTCGCAAGGGGTTTCCTTGGCCGTGGATGCGCGCGGCTTAATTAACCGGTTAGTCGATAGACATTTATTTCTGCCCGGGGACGCGCGCCGACTTTTTATTTAACACGGCGAGGTAGAATGATATTGCCACGCACGCTAGGGCTACATTCTCATTCCCATTGTGTCGGTCAGAAACCGATTCTCACGCGTGACAGGCATTATCTCGGGAGAAAAGTGGGTGACGCCGGCGACGTTGCTGCCACGATGTTGCAACAACGACCTAAATAAATTGCACTTGGACTACGTCGAGGATGCGTAATAAGCCTCGCCCCGCTTTTTCTTTCCTCC